ATGCATCGCCGCGCATACACGAGAGAACGTATGCACCCGGAAGAACACGGGAACACATACGGTGCTTATTTCTGTCTAATCTCCTGCATGAAGAGGCTTACCCGAAGTTACAGCGCCATGAAGAGATCCAGTCCGGGATTATCTAGAATTGTAGCTGGGCGTGTCGGAATTCATGCTGAGGATGTATAATTAAAAAGATAATTTCCTAATGAGGTACACGCGTAAATATATGTAAGGGGTTTCATACAAGCGCATGCACCCCGCTCAGGCAAGGACAAGTACAAGTAAAGCACAGGTACAAACGCACATACACACACACACATATATACATATACACACATACATACACGCACGCACACACACTCACACACACACAAATAAACGACGCGTCTTTTAACAATATAAATATTTATCTTCAAAAGTCATTTTCATTAAGAGAATGGGTTGAAAATAGTTAATATAGATAAGGAATATAAATAGGAATCTTAGCAATCTGGTCATAGCTATAAAAGAAAAGTTAGATGAGCATTTAGAAAGAATGTGGATACTGACAGACAAGCAGACAGACAGAAGCAGGTAGAAGTAGACCGACAGACAGCGGTAGATACAGAAAGAGAGACAGACAGACACACAGAGCAAGACAACCCAAACAACAAAATAAACAGAGATAGAAACAGAAAGAAAAAAAACATAATCCTCTTCCAACCTGTCTTCCCCTCCCCCTCCCCTCCCTCTCCTCTCCCCTCCCTCTCCCTCCTCTCCCTCCCTCCCTCCCCTCCCCCTCCCCCTCCCTCCCTCTCCCTCTCCCCTCCCTCTCACCCACCCTCCCCAAAAGATCCCCTCCCCACCCCCCACAAAAAAATAATAATAAAAATCCAAAACAAAGATGAACTGAAGACAGCGAGACGGGAGATGAAGCCTTCTCTCGCCTCCATTGTCTCCGATCAGCGTCCCTCGGAAACTGGTGCGAGAGGCCGGTTTCTTCGCCCGCGTTCTGGTTCCGCGAAACCGATCACGCGCCCAAATTCAGAGGCACTTGAGGCCCTATCACACTGGCACTTTTTCCATCAATTTTTTTGCGTTTCCGAATGAACTCCGCCATTTTTTTTTATCTTTTTGCGTTTCGAAATTAACTCCGTATGAAAATCATGTAAACAAACATCTGCGCTATCGGAGTGAGGTCCCGGGAATTACACGAACATTCTCATACATATTACGTTATTTTCAAAGAAATATGATGATGTATATTGTATATACGAATATTCTAAGATATTAGCTTATGTTTACATTCACTCATCCTATCTAATTTATTAATAGCACAAGATCAAGACGGAAATTAGTCAGACGGAAACGGTCGTAACCGTCTTGGTCTGGGAGGCGTTCCGTTTGGAGACGATCCTTGCGGAAAGCCTCAAATTCAGACGGAACCCCAGGAATTGACGGAAAAAGTGCTAGTGTGATAGGTTAGGACACCTTACGGAGTGCGATGATTAGCTGATTAGACGCGAGAGGCCGGTTCGGGGTCCGTGGAAAGTGTCCGGAGTGTCTCTGAATATGAGCGCTCGTCTCTCGGACCAGACGCGGACACAGGGAAAGTGGTCGGCAGGTGCAGGGAGTGGGGGGAGGGGGGGGGGGCGGACACGGGCAAAATGATCTCTACCTCCTCCACCTCTCCTTTGCCCCCCACAGAGTAACTTCCCTCCTCTTCATTCTCTCCTCCCCCTCCCTCCTCACCCCCTCCTTCTTCCTTTTCCTCCTCCTCCTCCTTCTCGTCTTCTTCCTCCTCCACTTTTCCCCCAAATCCTCCCTCTTTCCCTCTCCTTTTCCACCCCTCAACCTCCCCCTCCTTCTTCTTCTCTCCTCCCCCCCCCTCCTCCTTCTTCTTCCAACCCCCCTTCCCACCCCTCAACCACATCCCCTACTCCTCCCCCCTCCTTCCTCCTTCCCTCCCCCCTCCTCCCTCCCCCCTCCTTCCCCCCTTCTCCGTAGCGCAAGACGGACCGCTACCCCCCCCCTCCCTCCCATCCCCACCCACCCTACTGTTCGCGGTCAGATGAAAGCCCGAGGACTGGGAATGAGAGCATGTTAGCGAGGAAATTAGGACTTTAGATTAATTAAAAGATCAAAAGCAAACAACTTCGATGCCAAGAGTTTCGTCCACCTTGGGGTATTTTGCCCCCTCACTTCCCCCTTCCCTCTCTCCCCTCACCTTCCCCTCCCTTCCCCTCCCCTCTCTCCCCTCCTTCCCCCTTCCCCTCACTTCCCCTCCCCCTCCTCCCCCTCACTTCCCCCTCCCCTCTCTCCCCTCCTTCCCCCTTCCCCTCACCTTCCCCCTCCCCTCTCTCCCCTCACTTCCCCCTCCCCTCTCTCCCCTCCCTTCCCCTCCTTCCTCCCCTCCCTCTCCCCTCCTTCCCCTCCCCTCACTCCTTCTCTCCCCTCACTTCCCCTCCCTCTCTCCCCTCTTCCCCTCCTCACCTTCCCCTACTACTTCCCCCCTCCCTCTCGCCTCCCCCTTTTCCTCTCATTTCGTTTCCCCCCCCCTTTTTTTTTTTTTCTTTTTTTCTTTTTTTTTTTTTATTTTATTATTTTTTTTTTGCTTTCTCCTTTTATATATCTTCGTTTGTGTTTCGTATTTTTCTACTTTTTCTTAATTATCTTCTTGTTCCTTATTCATTCCCTTTCTTGTTTCTCCTATCTGTTCTCTTCTTTTTCTTCTCTTCCTCTCTTCCCTTCTCCTTTTCTCTCTTTATCACTTTTTCTTCTTCTTTTATTCCTGACTCCTTTTTTTTTTTTCTTTTTTTTCTTTTATTTCTTCTCTCTCCTTCCCTTCCCCCATCTATTTTCCTTCTTCTCTCCTTCCTCCCCATTTTCCTCTCCTTCCCCGTCCACTCTCCCTCTTCGTATTGCCTCATATCTTGTTTACATCTCTTTCCCCCTCTTCCCACTCTCCTTTACTCCTTTTCTCTCTTACTTTTTCCTTCTCTCTATTTTGCCCTATCTCTTGGTTCACTCCCTCTCCTTCTCCATCCCTTTTCTTTTTCTCTTTTCCTTCCCCTCTTCATCTCCTCTTTTTCTCCTCTCTTATAACCTCCCCTCTTCCCTTTCGTGCAACATCACTCCCCCCCCAACTCTCCCTCCTTCTGACCTCCTCCCCTCCCCTCCTCCTCCTCCTATCGTCCCTCCCCCCCTTTCTTACAATTTCCTGCCTCCTCTCTCCTCCTCCCTCTCCTCCTCCCTCTCTCTCCCCTCCTCTCCTCGCCTCCCTGTTCCCCTCTCCCTCTCCCGTCCCTCCCTTCTCCCTCCCCGCTCCCCTCCCTCCCCTCTCTGTCCCCTCTCCTCTCCTCTCCCTCCCTGTTCCCCCTCTCCCTCTCCCGTCCCTTCTCCCCTCCCCCTCTCCCTCCTCTCCCCTCTCCTCTCTTCCTCCCCTCCACCTTCCCCTCTCTCTCCTTCCCCTTTCTCCCTACTCTCTCCCTTCCTCTCCTTCCCCTCTCCCTCTCCCCCCTCGTCTCTACTCTTGAGTACTCTTGCTTCTCTTGCTTACTCTGCTTTCGCTTTATGAAAACTTTAAAACTATCAGAAATGCAAACATGTTTGATGGACAGTCATGCTCGATTTTTTGTTTGTTTGTTCATTCACACTTGCATTTTTTTTTCTTTTTTCTTTTCTTTCTTTACTTCTCTCTCTCTCTTCCCTCCCCTTCCCTCCCTCTCCCCTGCCCTCTTTTTACCCTACCGCTTCTCCCTTACTCTAACCCCTTACCTCCCTTTATTCTCCCTTACCCTCCCCTTTCCCTCCCCTTTAACCCCCTCTCTCCCTTCAACTTCCCCTCTCCCCTCCCCTTCTCCCTCCCCCTCCCCTCTTCCCCTCCCTTTACCCTACCTCTCCCCTTCCCCTCCCCCTCCCCTCCCCTTTAAACCCCCTCCCGCCCCCCTTCCCCTTCCCCCTCTCCTTCCCTAAAACTAACTCCCCCATCCTTCCCTCCCCCTTGTTCCCCCCACCTTTCTTCTCCCTCTCTTCCCCCCCCCTCTTCCCCGCTCTGCCCGTCAGGCACGGCACCCTTACCCTCCCCCCCTCCCCCCTCTCCTCCCTTAACCCCCTTCCCTCCCCTCCCTTCCCCTCCCCCATCCCCTCCCTTGTCCCCCACCCATGGCACCCTTCCCCTTCCCCTCCCCCTCCCCTCCCTTAACCCCCCTTACCATTCCCTTCCCCTTCTCTCCCCTGCCCTTCCCTTAACCCCCTTACCCTTCCCCTTCCCCTTCCCCTCCCTTGTCCCCCACCACGGCACCCTCCCCTCCCCTTCCCCTCCCTTGTCCCCCCACCCACGGCACCCTTCCCCTCCCTTCCCCTCCCCCCCCTCCCTTGCCCCCCCCCCCCCCACGGCACCCTCGACCGATTTCCTAATTGACAATCAAGGGAGCTCATCGGACGCGGCGCTGCGACCAGCTCGAAGCCGCCGCCAGCGTTCTGTCCGTGAGGGGTTGAGGGCGCTTTCTGTTTCTCGTTTTTGGGGGGTTGTTTGTTTGTCTTGGTTGGTTGCTTTTGCGTTTTTTTTTTTTTTTGGGGGGGGTGTTAGGGGGTTGGATTGAGGGTGGTTTGTGCTTCTCGTTTTTTGGGTTGTTTGTTTTTTGTTTGCTTTTTTTCGGTAGGAGGTGATGGGTTTCTCTTTTTTGTTCGTTTTCTGTTTCGTATTTTTTCGTTTTGTCGTTTGGAATTGATGTTTTCTGGTGATGGGTTTTTTTGTTTATTTGTTTTGTTTTCATTTTTCGTTTTCTCGTTAGGAATTGGTGGCGCATTTTGCTTCTCTTTTTTGTTTGTTTTCTGTTTGCGTTTTTCGTTTTGTCGTTTGGAGCTGATGGTGTTTTTTTGTCTTTTTTGTTGTTTGTTTTCTGGTTTCGTTTTTTTTCGTTTTTCATTAGGAGATGATGGCGTCTCTTTCTTTGGTTGTTTTTTCCATTTCTATTTTATCTACTTCTCTCTATTTTTCCTCGCTATGCCTGAAT